TGTATATGAGCTGCTGAAACGGGCAGATTATCGCCCATGTTTCTGCACTGCTTTAGCGGGCAGATCTAAGTTCAACGTTCGAAATGTACTTGGCAAGGGGCAGCGACCAGATCAGCCCCGTTTTCTCCCTTGTATATGGACTGCTGAAACGGTCAGATTATCGCCCATGTATCTGCAATGCTTTAGCGGGCAGATCAAAGTTCAACGTTCAAAATGTACTTGGCAAGGGGCAGCGACCAAATCAGCCCCGTTTTCTCCCTTGTAAATGAGCTGCTGAAACGGCCAGATTATCGCTCATGTATCTGCACTGCTTTAGCGGGCAGATCTTAGTTCAACGTTCATACGAAGTATCTCGCCGCTTCTTCTCACCATATGACAAAGCGATACCTATATACCAGTCTTCAGTGCGCTGGTGCGCTGCCGTGTCATCAACCAAATCCCTCTCTCACACTCGCACCCTCAATAACACTTTTCCCTTCGTCTTCCTGCGTAACCGCGTGGGCGCCGATGTCTCCGCCTCGAGCTCGTCTCGCACTCCGTGACTGTCTGCGACTCTGCGGTGCACAGCGTACACCTCGCATGCTTCCCCAATCCTCCCTCTGTCAACTGTCCCCGCCTGCCTATCGCGTCGGGCACACCGTGTACATCCCCCCCATAGAATGACTGGTTCCTCCCTATATCCCCTTCCGTTCAACTCTCGGCCTTGTTTTCACCCAGGGCGCTTAGAGAAGGCCACAGTCCTTCGCTGTTTCTAAACCGCTCGGGGCTGGGCCCCGGTCAATCGCAGCACCCGGCACCCCCGACTGCGCCCGCTTGATGACCATTCCCAGATCAGTACTTCGGGATCTCAATTTCCCTTTTCAGACCTGAAGGCTGAGCCGCGCAGGTGATAATCGTAAGAGGCCACAGAGAGCTCCAGCCATCTGAGCAGCAGGTATGCCTATACCGAAATCTGATAATGGTACAGTGACCCACACCGCACTGATGGTGCACCGATCCTGAACAAAGCTTCCCTGTTCCATAGTGTGTCGTGGAATGTAGCCACACTGGTGTAATCCCAAACCTGAACCTGAGTGCCGCACCCATACCAAATCATCACCGAAACCTGCACCTTTGTCAACGTCGAGGTAGTTTTGGCCTGAAAATGAACCAACATAGTTTCCCGGGTCTGAAATAATCCGCAGCGCCGGTGCGGAACCTGAAATGAGTTACCGTAGTGGTTCAGGTCCTGGAGATACCCCCTTCGGATGGTCCCGAACCCGAAAATAGGTCGCGTTGGTGAATACATCAGCGTAGTCATCCCGAACCTGAAATAGACTGGCGTAGTGGTCCCAAAGCTGAAATAAACCGCCATAGTGGCACCAAACCTGGAATAAATGGCCGCAGTGRTGGTGCCGAGCCTGAGCTAAATACCCGTGATAGCGCCGAACCTGGAATAACCTGCCGTCCAGGTTCCAAACCTGAAATACATCGTCATAGTGGCTCCAGACCTGAAAGTAAGCCACCGTAGCGGTTCCGGCCCTGAAACAAATAGCCATGATGATGCTGATCCTGAAATAAATAGCCGTGATGATGTTGACCCTGGAAATAAATCACCCCGGTGCCCGAACCTGAAGTACACGGATACCGCCTCAGGCCGAACCTCAAACATGTCTGGTACCGAACTTGACGTACACGGATACCGGCTCAGGCCGAACCTCAAACATGTCCGGTACCGAACCTGACATCATGCTGTCGGTCCAATGTAACACGATCCCACGCTGTCCATATCCATGTGGCCATCGCCCGTACTGCCGGGCTCAGTAAGGTTAGTAATCAGGTAAATAGGGGACGCGTCATAGAGAGTTTCGATCATCGGGGGATAGCAAAAAAAAAWTAGAGCTCAGGGAATTTGATCAAATCTGGGTTCTGAGCTGACGGTGGGTATCCCAACCAAAACTAGACCAGGCATCGAATAATCATTAGCTCCTGTTTGTTCCATCGTTCTCCCTTTTCCTTAATTCTATTGTCTGAAATAGTGAATTAGCCGTAGGTTCACCAAAAWTGAATTCTGAGGGAGTTTAATCAAATGGTTGAAATTCTCTCTTTTCTTCTCTCCCTTACCATTTTAATTTTTTTTCTCTGGTCTTCTATTTCATTGCTGGAAACATAAAATAACGAGGTATTTTCCTCAAAATTTAAATGCCGCAAAAAATAAGAGAAATAAGGGATATTACGTTTTTCTCTTCCCTCCTACTGTTCCCAATCTTTTCTCTCATCTTTAGTTCAGGTACAAAAATAGACAAAAATTTGAGGCCTCATTTCGGCCCCGGTCGTATGCCGCAAAAACGTTGCGGCGAAGTCAGTTCCCGCGATGCCTCTCCGCGGCAGGCCAATCCGAGTCTAGCTCTCTAAACGGCCGGGAATAACGGTCCCTAGACGCGCCGAGTGTGGCCACTTATCTCGCCATCTTTGAGGATTACTCGTAAGGCTCAGTGCACCCAGAATCAGGGGTGCCCTGAGTTCCCCTGATTTTTGCTGCCTGGTCATACGAGAGTACCATCAAAACACAGACTTGTCCCTGAGCCTAAGTCCCAAAACTGCAGATCTCAGGCGGCGCACTGCTTGCGTTCGCCTGACAACGAATCCTACATCTCCCAAGCGTGTGTGGGGATCGAGAGCCTCAGCCTGTGGGCGACGATGATGGATCACCTACAGGCTATGAATCCCCCGCGGTCATGACCATGGGGTCGATCTCGGCCCGCGGTCTGGATCCCGACCGCCGAGGTCGGCTGCGGGCGGGGGTCGCGATCTCGATTTTGAAAGAATTTTTTTCCTATTAAAAATATACCCAAAAAAAAAAAAAAAAAAGGGTTGTAGGTTTTGTTTTGAATTATGAAGTGTTTTTTCATTTAAAAAAAATAGAAAACCAAAAAACAAGTATTTAAATCAAAAGAAACATAATTAAAAAAAAGAAAAATTCTTACTTTTCATGTGTGTGTGTGTGTGTGTGAATGTGTGTGTGTGAGTGTGTGTGTGTGTGTGTGTGTGTGTGTGTGTGTGTGTGCGTGTGTGCATGTGATGGGGGGAAGGGCGACCCCTTCCCCACCACTCAATCAATCAATCAATTAATCAATCAATCAATCAAAGAAAAAAAAAGTAATAAAAATTGAACAGCGGGTTCGACCTGCTTGCGTTTGTGTGAGTGTGTATGTGTGTGTGTGTGTGTGTGTGTGTGTGTGTGTGTGTG